ATATATATATACATTTTATATATATCATTATGGTACATTTCTTGGCACCCATCCCCCGTCCCCCTATTTTCCTCCAGTCATACTCTCACCATAATTATCACTCAATTGACATGGTTTTCATGATGTGACGTGTGGAATTACGTGGCTCTCTGGAATCCGGGAAGAGCAATACTCGCATCCCTCTGCCCTCCCTCCCCTCCCCACTTCCTATGGTCCTCCTCCTCCTCCTAAAACGCTGTTTGAAAAGAGGAAAGTCCCGCTAGAAACTTTTTAATTTTAATAGTCGTTCTTTTATTTGATTGTGGTACGACACTTTTTGTCAGTTTTATTTTATTTATTTATTTTTTTTTATTTTTTTATTTTTTTCATTTTTTTTTTTTTTTTTTTTTTTTTCTTTTTCTTTTGTCTTTTGTCTTATCTATGCACACCACGACCTCTAGTCCCTCATGTATAGAGCCCTCCGTGCAAGTTTGGGTGTGTTGCACTCAAACTTGGTCTTAAATGTGTCAATCATTTTCTGGGAATAGCAACTGCTAAATTGGTAATAGTTGTTGATTTTTGTTATTTTTTGTTTGCATGTGGAATGATAGTGCTGTTGTTGTTTTTTTCCTTTTTCTTTTTCTTTTTTTTGTGTTTTTTGTTCTGGATACATTATTTATGAATTTGAATGTGGGTGATGGTGTATTAATGTTATTGAATATTTAGTATATTATGGAAGACCTCCTTTATTTTCAATTGTCTTTTCATTATATATGGAATCTTAAATTTCCATTTGCCATATCTTTTATGTTCTTTATTTGTGCAATACTTTTAAAGAAACTGCAATATTCATGTCTTTTCTTCATTTGTTTTTATTGCTGTTTCAAAATTAATTTCTCTCTGTCTTCCTTGTTTACTTAGTGAGAACTTGGATGCTTACATTTTCATGATTTGTAATTAGCTATCATTGGCATTTAAATTATTTAGACTGTACTTAACCTTCCATTAAGTGCAAGTTCTTCTGTCATGCTTTTTTTGAGGCCAAAAGCAAAGTAGTCTTGCTGAGTGAAGCTGCCAGATTATTACTGCGTTCAGACGTGGGACTTTTTCAAATCTCACGACATAATGCTATTTGGAATAATCTTAGCCTGAGTATTGAGAATAGAACAGAGAAATTGTTTTGTATAAAACAGTTCAAATAATTGTGTTCAAGCTAAAGCAAAAGAAAAGAAAGTCTATTTTTTCTGTGAGAATATTAATTCATAAAAAATAAGGTTGAATAACAATGAATGGATCAAATGTATGTGCCTGACTTGTAAAGAAACTCCATAATGTGGTGAACAATCCAATAGATAACGTTACATATGATGTATATTGAATAGATGTTACATTGGCGTCTTCTTGGATTCTTAGAAATTAAAAAATATTAGGGAAATTGAAATCCTTAACATCAATACAGATGTCTATTCACTCTGCATTTTATGGACAGAACCGTTTTTTCCCCCCCCTTTACGCAGAATTTGTGTTAGATGACTGTGTTTAGAATGTAATAATTGTACATCCCCTTATAGCCATTAAGAATATTTCCCCAAGTCCTTGGGTAGTGTTCTTGAAGCACTGGTTCAACCTTGCCAGGATGTGTCACTAGTGGCCATACTTTTACAGCAGTACCGTATATTGTATTCCAGTTACAGTGTTTCCGTATAACACATGAGCTTGTGGTTAGTTAGCATGGCTCACTATGTGTGATGGATCATTATTGTTGTTGTTATGTAGTCCTTTCCTGTATTCAGCCAATAGACCACTTTTACAAGGCTAAACACAAAAAGAAAAGAGAAAGGAGACCTAAGACATTCACATTTCCAAATGAATTGAAAGTTTCTGAAAAGAATTAATTTCTTTGCAATTTACATGTGATCATAGTTAATTGTTGGAACATGACAAACATTCCATACTTTGGGTACTGTGTGTATGATAAATTTATTATAACTGACAATCAGCAGGTAATGACATCTCAAGTTACACTAATGTCCTTTGAGGTGATCTGTTGGTGTTCAAGATAATCAGTTGTATCATGTAGTGTATATTTGAAATATGTATATGAGGCTTCCCGATGTAGTTAAGTGGATTTACAGTTATGACATTAATTGTTAAATGTTTATTAGCTTTTCCGTTCATGGTGCTTCTCTTTCCGAAATTTCGTTGTAAGGGTCTGTTGGGCTGTCATCGAAACTCATCGTCAAGGTCTCATATTAGTCTGCGATGTCCATTACTGAATCTTTTGGGCAGATCATTCTGGTTGTCATTTCTCGTAACGAATCATGCCCATACAGAACAGTATTATACCAATTGCTATCACATCCAAGAGAATGTTAGTGTTCAAAGAAAGACTTTTGAAAGACTTTGAATTAATTTTTTTGATGTCCTTGATTAATGGGATATTTGTGTATATGCCTCTAGTCATTATTCTTCACTTGTTTGGAGCCACATGAACAATTTAATAAAGCCCATATTTGACCAACATATCTTTGTATTTATTCCTGAAATCTATCAAGGGAAAGCAAAAAGAGAGTGAGTGAATGTGAGTGAGTGAATGAATGTGCATGCATGAGTTTGCGGCATGTGTGAGAGAGACAGGCGTGTGATTGGTTTCATTTTGGAACACTTTCAAATACCCCCTCCCTCCTGAATCCAATGTCCTTACTGCAAAACTGTATGCACTCCTTTTTGCCTTAAAACACATATACTCAATTTTTACTGACTCCTGTAACTCATTAACTCTCATTAAGTTAATACACTCGACCAACCCTCTTGTTTGTAAGATCCAGAACTGGTTGTTCTTCCCTTCCACTCGAGATAAAACAACCAGATTTTGCTGGGTGCCCAGCCATGTTGGAAAGATAGAAGACAAAGGCATTAGCCATAAAAACAAATAACACCAAGGCACAAAAAGGATAATTATAATGTGTATGTATATGTATATGTGTGTGTGTGTATAGATTTAAGAAGATAGACATTTGTAACTGAAGATTTAACCAGGCATAGGCATGGAACATCCACTCTTTGTAGCAGGATGGTCAGTTACCACTTCTGCCGAGGGAATTGAAGCAGCTAAAAGTTGAGGTTGCTGCTCTCCCGGTAGTGAGAAGACCTGGTAGCAGGTCAATCAGTGTGGGTGGCTATACCTACTAATGGGCGAGCCGCAGCGATGGTCACCATCTCTAGGGATAGTCATAGTCATCTCCAGTAGACTTCCGTCCTCGGTAGCAGAGGTTACTCCGACTGATGAGTGTATAATTGCTCTGAGCTTGACGTGTATGTGTATGCTTTTGCCGACGTTTGTAAATTCGCATTGTTCTGGATGACTTCAGTGCTGTATCCGGCTTTGATCAAGTTGGCTGAGATGTCTGTTGGTCCCCATGGCTCGGGAGCTAATTCCAACAGTGCAAATGGTCTACTATTCCAGGACTTTTCTAGGTCCCAGAGATAGGATTTCTGGCTCTTCGTACCAGTGCTCTAAGCCACATTGCTGGATTTGGTATATGGATCCGAGCAATGTGGTGAACCACATTCTTGCTAGCAATCGCTGGAGGATCTTCTAGAACTACAGCGTATTCCTGAGTGCCGAGTTTTGTGGTACCAACCATAGACTGAGCGTGGCTATCCTCTGGGTCCACTTCAGTGTTCCATTTGGACAGTCTAAGCTAAGGAGAATCTGCCCCAAAATTTGCCAGAGCTATTTCCGGTTGTTTTGCAGTTCCCAGCAAACTGATGGACCCTGCAGAGCCGTGGGAAACCTTCAAGTACAAAATACTTGATGCAGCTCAGGGATCCATTGGCGATCACCCAAAAGCAAGACAATTACATCTCGCAGGAGACACTGGGAAACACAGATGCTTGTCACACAGTTCGACTGACTTGAGATCCGGATTACATCGTTCCTTGGCATGTAAACCCTGTTGGAAGAAGAGATCTTTAACTGGAGTACATCAAACAGTTGTTTCAGGGTGACCCATCATCAGTTAGCCTTGATGCAAGTGGTATGCAATTTCCAAGTTGTGGAGTGGAAAAGCAGCGGGTATCTCCGGCATCCTTGCTGGATTATTAAAGGCTGATGGTGATCAACCTGGGAGATCTTGAGACTTAAGGGTATTACGGCATGGTTTATTGGATTAATAACAAGCCTTTATACTGGTTCTGAAACTGCTGTTAGTGTAGTGGGGGCCTGTCGAGCTTCTTCCCTGTGAATTCAGAAGTGAAAGCTGTGTTTTTGCACCAACACTTGCACATACTGGATACTGGGCAGAGTTACATTCCAAATACATCAGTGCACCGACCTTGACTTATCCGACGAAGTTTTAACCCTATCTGTAACTCTGAAATCCCTAGTGGCCGCTCAAGAAGCATTTAGCAATAAAGCGAAGCCTTGGGTCTAGAGGTGTCCTGGACCAAGACCAGGACCCAGAATTTTGGATTGTGGCGAAGATATTGAAGTGCGTCCAGCTAGGGAGGGAGGAGTTGAAATCCACAAGACCCCAATAATCGCTATTCCGGTCCTATTCTTTTTTGGAATTCTCTCGTGATGCTTAAACGTAGGAGACCGACGAAACGGGGAACTTCTGGGAAGAGGAAAGAGGTTTACGTTGAAAGCAGGACATGTGAAACAGAAATCCACATCAAAATAAACAAATTTCTTATCTATTTACACACGTGTGTGTGCGCGCGCACACATGTATTTATGCATGTATTTATACAAATACATATATGTATGTGTGCGTTCATATACATATATACATACATACTTAATTGTAAACACATATATGCACAGAGTAATACATCACTGGATCACAATTATTTCAGTTCATTTCTCCCCTTCCTCTTCTACATTATTGCCTTTGAAACCTTATTTTCCCAACTCCAACCAAATTCTTCCCGAGGTCGCTTCTTAGAGTACTTTCTCTCCAATACTGACCTTATCCTCCTAAATTCAAGCCATTCCATACACTTGGTCTTTCTCTTTGCTCTCCTACCCTTCGTCTAGACTTCAATTGATCAGGTCTAGACCACTTTCACGAACAATCACTTCCCTATTGTCCTTCTACTTCCTATGCCCTACTTCCCAATCCCTCTCTCTTTCCCTTGATCATCCCCCATCATCCTTCTCTTCCACATCAGACATGTTTCTCTACTTCACAACCAATATCCTAAATGGAGCTTGTACAACCAACCCTCGTACATCCCGACCTCACACTTCCAAATGCGTTCCTTGGTGGAAACTAGAATGTGCTAAAACACTTCGGTTGAAGCGTGCAGCTTGGAATAGTTATACGTACAAAAGAGGCACCCCTAGTCAGTTAACTGCCCTCATAGCATTTAAAGAAGCACCAGCCCATCTTCGCCATACAATCCATAACTCCATGACAAACAGCTGTCGAAATTTTGTTTTCTCCATAACATCTACTCCAGTCTCTGCACTTTGGGTCCATAAACTATCAGGAAAATATTCTCCTTATACTGCCACCGTCCTCCATATCCATAATAGCCTCATCTCAGACCCTCTTCAAGTAGCTACTGAACTTCGTGCCTATTTTGACCAACTCAGTAGGGACTCTCACCTTTCTACTCTCTTCTCTTCCATAAAAGCAGACAAAGAGCGCTCCCATCTCCTTCTCCATCTCCTGTACATAATCTTATGGTGCACTTTTTTCTTCTGAAATCTCTTATGCACTACAGTCATCCTGCAATACCCATGAAGGCCCAGACGACATACATTACCATATATTACTCAATATCACACACACAGTCTATACACTCTATGAATCCTATAGTCCGTAAAATACAGGATCAGTTGCAGTGGCTTGGTGGCTCCTATTTGGCTGAGGGACACTAGTCTTTTTGGGCGCCCCTTTGAGAACTGCGCCGTTGGTACAAATGTATTTGATTAGGCAATGGTAAGGCTCATAACAAGCGTGGGTCAGGGGCTCAAATCCATTAAAAAAATTGAAAACAATGGCACTGCGCCACAGGAATTAATTTGATGCATTGTTCTCTATTATTTTGAGAAGAATAGCCCCAAATTTGTTAATCAAGACCGAATTTCAACAATTTCAGGAAAATTTAATTGAGCTAGTCCTTTTCTGTGGCCGCTTTTAGAGAAAAATTTGGTGACTTTTTTCATTTAGGAAGAAACCAGGTGGTCGGTAAGCGTTATTAGGTGGCCGCTATTCAGAGGTTCACCATATAAACAATGATATGCGAAAGTGTTTGGGACTGAAGATTAGTGGCCGTTCTTGGGAGGTGGCCCCTAATCGGAGGTGTTCGCTATTAGAGGTTGGACTGTAGGCGCCTTTTCGGAGCGCTGTAGATTTTTTGTACATATTTGCTTTCAGTGAGCTTTTGGCGCCTCTTGGAGAGTTGAGACACCTTCGGCGCCCCCTGCTTTTCTTTGCTGGGGGGGTACGTGCCCCCACGGCCTCCCCCGGCCACCACGCCACTGATCAGTTGTTGTATCTGTCAACACGACAGAAAACAGCTAAATTTTACTGGATAACTCGTCATGTTGGGCTCCCCGGCAGATGCCTTGGCTCGATCCGTCGCCTTGTCAACCCTGCAACCCCGTTTTCACTCATCCCAGCCACCGACTACTACCCTCATAAATCTTTCCTCTATAATCGTTGGCAGTCATTCTGGTCAGGTCTGACCAACAATAAACTACAAACCTTAATTATCTTGCCCTTGTTTTACTGAGCCCCGTACTATTACTTTTCCTTACTTGTCCCCTGTCCCCAGACCCCCTAACTTATATATATGTATGTGTGTGTGTGTGTGTGTGTGTGTGTGTGTGTGTGTGTGTGTGTGTGTGTGTGTGTGTGTGTGTGTGTGTGTGTGTGTGTCTATCTACACACACACACACACACACACACACACACAGAGGCCTCCACTCAGGGTTGTCTCGGACAGAGACAACCTGGTGGGCAGGATCATCCTGTGGGAAACAACCCAGGTGATCATACAGCCAGAGTTGGCGATCGCGGATTATGCAAATAACAGGTCCTGTACCAGTCTCATGGTGCAACCGTTGGTTGGACACATAGTCCCGCCGACTGTACCCCATGATCCGGTGCAACGACCTGTTAAGATAGGAATCAAGAATAGATTCCAGAGAACAAGATAGCGTCCAGGTTTCACTGCCTTATACTAAAACTGGCAATATCAGCCTTGAAGACACGTAGCTTGGTCCTTCTGCGCAGGTACCGGGATCTCCAAATACTCTTGTCGAGAGATTTCATGACCCCTGCTGTCAGGCCAATGCATCTACTGACTTCCTGGTCTGACAGCCAAGAATCGTGAACTGCACTACCGAAGTATATAAAGCTCTCTGTGACCTCGATATTCTCATAGCAAGCCCATACCGACTGAACAGGATCTTGTAACAGGCCCCCAAAGTCCTGGATCTTGGTCTTGTTCCAAGAGACCTCTAACCCTAGGGGCTTTGCTTCATAGCTAAATGCATCAAGAACC